CTTTGGGCCAATCACCAGGAGACACTGAGTTCTAGTCCCACCTTAGGGATGAAATCTGGCTGAAAAAGGAAAAGACTGGAGAAGAAGGAGGAGGAGAATATTCTGAACCTACTTCCCCAATCCAACTCTCCTAGGTCCTAGACATCTATAGGTTAAAGAAGGCAACACTAAGGTGCTTATAGGATTATTACCGTAGTCAGCTGATGGAGGAGGGGGGAAATCTGCATTTTCTAAAATCTATAATGTAGGTGCATTCCTGGTGCTGACAAACGTCAGTGCATTCCATTTCTACGTGTTCATTTATATCTCAAGACAAAGAATTCAGTGAACCTGATCAAAAATATTTCCACGCTCTACTCCAAATTGCCTCAGGACATGCTAATAGTGCAACTAAAGAATGAGCCTAACCACCAACCAGCACAGAAAATCCTCACAATATCACAGAGAAATACAGAAAAGTCAACATTACCCTTACACACACACACACACACACATAACGCTAGAGCTAAAAGAACTTTCGAAGTTTCCGAAAGAGAAAAACATCTTGTGATTTTTGACAGAGATCATGTGCTTCTAATGCAAAGGGAAAGTACATTACTATTACACATACACACACACACCCTTCAGAAAGTTCTGTAAAATTTGCATTCAAGGACCTGGGCCAAAACAACAACAACATGCGATCTTTTTATAAAAGTCATTTAGACAGCCTGACTCTCTGAAATAAATCTCGTTTTGCAACATTACACTTCCGAAATAGTTAATCATGCACCATCTCAGCTATTTGCGCATCAGTTGACAACCCAATGAAAATGGGAGAAATAGAAATTATTACTAATTCTAATAAGAGTATGCATCACCATTAGGACTGGAACATATTTTTTTTAACCACCGGGACATTTGTATCAACCCAGAACTCCACAGCTTTTCCACTTCTATTCACTATACTGGTGAGAACAGGGTTCACTCCTGGGACATTTTAGGCAAAAAAATAATAATTCCAGACAGCAACATCAAACTGCTTGTGTACGGTTTCTAGAAAAACTATATGGATAAATCCAAGAGGTTACCAAGAATTAAGCAGATCTCAAAGGATGTTCTTCCTTTTAAGAAAAGATATATACGTATTGCAATTATCTCAATAAAAACATCATACACTGTTTAATGGAGCTTTCTATAGTTACAACCACAAGTGAGCCCAACATTTCTGTTGCTGAGCGAGATAGTTGAGTTTTGCCCTGTTTTAACTACCTTTCTTGCCAGAGTTGTTAAATGAATCAGTGCAGTTGTTAGGCTAGCAATGTGGTTGTTAAGTGAATCTGGCTTCCCCATTGACTCCGCTTGTCAGAAGGTCGCAAAAGGGGATCGCATCAGTGGTGGGATTCAATTTTTTTTACTACCGGTTCTGCGGGCGTGGCTTGGTGGGCGTGGCAGGGGAAGGATACTGCAAAATCCCCCTTTCCCTCCCCACCCCACTAACCTGCTTTCCAGCTCCGTTCTCCTGTGCAGGGCAACCAAAGGAGACCCAGCCGATCAGCTGGGATTCAGGAGGCAGAGAATAGATGGGGGCAGGGCCAGTCAGAGGTGATATTTGCTGGTTCTCTGAACTACTCAAAATTTCCACTACCGGTTCTCCAGAACTGGTCAGAACCTGCTGAATCTCACCTCTGGATCACGTGACCCTATGACACCGCAACCGTCATAAATATGAGTCAGTTGCCAAACGTCTGAATTTTGATCACATGACCAAGGGGGTGTTGCAGTAGTTTAAGTATAAAAAATGGTAAGTCACTTTTTCTCAGTGCCTTTGTAACTTCAGTCACTAAATGAGCTGTTGCTAAGTCAGGGACTACCTGTATAATCTATATATCTACATAGAAATTATAAAAAAGATAGGCAGGAAGAATAATGGTGACTGAAACCACACAAGACCATCTGACTATATTGTCCAACCGCACCATATTTCCCCGAGCCATGGATTTCACTGTTCCCACTCTTAAGAGAAATCATTCATAGGCAATTCCTTTGCTAAATAGGGACATTAGTAGCCATAGACAAAGTTATTGAAACATTATACACACAGAGAGACCAAACCGGGTCTTATTAAAACATTAATGCAGCACTATTTTTATGATTACAGTCTCAAAAATCAGAGTTCATGACAAACAAGACATTCTGTGATTAAATTTGACTTAACCATTCATGTTATAGATTTTTAAGATACACCCACAAATTCAGGGTTGTTATTTACACAAAGGGAACGCAGTGTCCAAAGTCTGGAAGAGAAAACCAACCTTCCTCAGCCCTTTTGTCGGCAAGCCTTTCTCAAAAAGAATAATTTCATGGTTAAAATGTGGCATTTATTGATATTTTAGAAAACCGGATAATTAGGATATTTAAAAACAAAATTGGTTTTTGTTCATTTGGTGCCTGTGAGGTTTTATTTTTCCTTGTCACGGATGTACATGAAACAACGTAAGCATTTATTGGCTGTGAAGTAATTAAATTTCACTCTCATTAGTTAAAATTAAGATTACCAACATTTGGCGTTTTTAATTTAAACAAAACTATGCCCACTTTTAACTGTGGCCTGATTCAGGTAAGGTAAATGTGCTAAAAACAAATGTCAGCAACCTTATTACATCTCTGAAAACCTGAACAATCCTGAACTGGCACTTTTTGGGAAACTCATGATACCGTCACTATAGCAACTACAATTTTTAGTGTATGGAGATGTGCCAGTTTGCCTCTTTTTATGATTTACTCAATAAAAGTCTGTTTTCAAGAGCTTTCCCCCCCTAGCGATTGGCTGTTTTTTAAATTAATCTCTCTCTCTCTCTCTCTCAAATTTAACAGAACTGTCTTAGATTCGAACTCCTTTGAGCTGTGGTGCTAGAGAAGGCTCTTGCTTGGGCAGCAAAGGTAACTAACAAGCACTGCACTGGAAGGAGAAAAAAAAGAAAATCACAAAACTGCAGTCTCGCTTACTTTGGCCATATCATGTGGAGAAATTCACTGGAGAAAGCAATTATGCTTGGAAAAGGAAGAGAGCACAGTGGCTGCACACCATCAACGCTGACACCAGCCAGAGAGCATAGAACGACTCAAAGAAGTCGTGCACGATCAGAAGAGGTGGAGAGTCCTGGCCCTTAGAACCACCAAGACTTGACTGAACAGATCGTATCATCGTCATCACGATGAGTTTCAAACCCCAAAAAGAGAGTATTGGGGGGGGGTCTTTTGCTTACCATGCCGCCAAGGGTCCTTAGGCTCCACAGCACCAGACACGATGTCTTCATCGGAAGGGAAAGTCACGTGCTTTGCTCTGAGCTTAAGCTTCCCCTCATCCATAGATGGAGAACCTTGACTTAACAAGTCACCTGCTGGTGTGTCCCCACTTGCTGCTTCCAAGCTTAAACAGCAGGTCTGAGAAGAGGACTCAGCCTTGTCGTGCAAATGGTTATTTTGCTCGGCGGCAGACCGTTCCTTGTCCCTAAGGCATTCTTGAGCGATCGTCCCAAGAGGTTCTGCGACCAAAGAGTTGCCGCCAGCCGCTTCGTTGTCCGGCGACCGTTCCTGCGGATGGTTCAAAGCCTCCTGCAGATGGTTCAAGTCCTCCTCTGTCCCATCACAACCCTCCGTCTCTTTCGGGTCCTCCTTTAAAGAACATGAGGCACAACGCTCTACAGTATCTTGGACATAAGGGTGGTCCTGCAGGGAGGGAAGGGTCTCTGTACTTTTGGAACAAAACTCCTTAGTGTCTTGAAACGTCTTCATACCATCTTGTTGGGAAGCAGGCCAGGGGGCAGAGCCCCCCAAAAGGATCTCCCCTTCCTTGCGCACAGCAGGGGCAGGCAGCAGCAGCAGCACACGGTCCCCCTCAGCAGCTTTGCTTTGTTGCTGCACAGGTGAAACCTGCATACACTCCATAGCCAGGCAGGTGAGATGGGGGTCTGTCAAAGGGGGAGCTCCTTCTTCCCTTCTCATGAGTCCTTTGGAGTCATTACTGATGGAACAGAACTCACCTTTTCCCTTCCTATCTTTTGCTGCCCACTCCTTCAGGAAAAAAAGGGGGGGGAGGGAAAGCTCTCACGTTTTCCAGGCCTCCTCCCTATAAGCAGTGGGGTAAAGAGACCCAGCTCTTGTTGGACCAAAGGAAGCTGCTACATGAAGCATGAGTGAAGATTAAAAGAAACTGGGGGCAGGGGAGGAGGAGGAGGAGGAGGAGAGACAAAACGCAAGGCCCTCTCTTTTTCTCTATGTAAAAACCCTTGTTTGATATTAGAAGAAAGCGACTGCTAGAAGAGACACGCAGCATGAAGGGAACAGCCCGGATTGGGGAGAGGCATGAATTTATGAGGGGAGCGGAGGATGGGTCCCAGCAATCCCTTCCTTAGCCTGCAAAACAGAGAAAACGGTTCGGTTTCATTATCCTTCCCAGTAAAAAAGGATCAGGCAAGGTATGCCTAAGCCGGAAATGCATCGGAGCTTCAATAAACCTAAATCCGTCTTGGCAGCAGCTTCTTCTCCCACCCCAGCAAAGAGGGAAGAGAGGGAAGGAAAAGTTTACACAAGCATGAAACCCTCGAGGCCCACAAAATAAATAAGGCGCAGCTGTCAGAAGTCAAACCAAAAAGCACCAGGTAAAAAAAAAAAAGGGGGGGGGGGAGAATCGACTCTGGTGCAGAAAAGAATTAAAAATAATAATAACAATAAATGAGGGGGTGTTGTTGCTCTTTGCAGAAGCATGCACGTGCAAGGAAAAGTTGGGGGGAATTATCCCCTCCGTCCAATCTTGGGGGCGGGGAGGAGGATAGAAATATATATATTTTTTAAAAAGGGGGGAAGTCACCGTCCAATGGGGGGGGGGGGGCAGGAACGGGGCGTCTCTGGGGAGGAGGCAAGCCGGGGATGCAGAGAAGGAACCTCTCCAGATAAAAAGAAAAACAAGCAAGCAGGCAAGCAGGCGAAGGAGAAAGAGAGAGAGGATCCCGCCCAGACAAACGGGGCCTGGAGACCCCCTTCCCCCACTTACTTCGCGGGGAGGGGGGGGGCGGCGGCAGGAGAGAGGCCGCCCGGGAGGAATATACGCACCCGGGGGGAGCGGAGGAGAGCCGGGACTCGGGGGGTGGAGAGGAGGACGGGAGGGAGGCCCAAAGCCGCTCGCGAAGCAGGGAACGGCGCAGGAGGAGCAGCCGGCGCAAGCGGCGACTAAGGCCCGCCGTCGCCTCAGCCAGGTGCGGACGCAAAAGAAGACGCCTCTCTCTCTCTCTCTCCCCTTCGCCGCCGCCAGGACTAAGTGCGCTTGCGGCCTCCGCATCAGCCGACGCACTTTCGATAAAGCGCTGCCCGGGCGGCTCGGCTTTCCTTCCCGCTCTTTTCTCCTCATCCAGATGCGGTACTCGGATTCCCACACCCGGCTTTCCCTAAGGAGGGTCCCGCGTTGTTTTTTGTTTTTTTTTAAACCCGGCCGGTGGGAGTTTGGCGAATCGGCGAGCGGGTTTTGTGAGCCAGCGCGCGGAGGGAAGCGGCCCCTCCTCCTCCTCTTTCTCTCCCCCCCTCCCACCCGCTCCTCCTGGCTGGCCTCCCTCCCCGCTCGCCCCCTCCCCTCCCCGACTCCAGGGAGTGAAAGCGCCTGGTTTGGGTTTCCGTTCCGCACTTTCGGTTTTGTTTTTGGTTTGTTTTCTTCACACGGCGCCTCGAGGAAAGGGAAACCCTGTAAAAAAAATCTCACCCCGGGTGGTTTCAGAGCGGAGAGTGAAACCGGATTTTAAAAACGCAAAATTCAAAAAGAAAGCCCGCGGGCGAGACCGAAAGAGGATCTCGAATATGCCGATAAGGGAACCGGACTGAGCCAAAAAAAAAAAAAAAACCACACAACCCGCCTGACTCTGACGAGAAGCTCACGCTTTCTCAGCTCACTTTCCCAAGGCTTCGTAAGGGGAGGGTGGGAACAAGGAAAAAAAAAAAGAATGACTGACTAACCGGCGCATGCGCCTCGCTGGTCTCCCGGCTCATTAGACTAAGGTCATAGATTTGGCAGTCCTCCTCTGGCCAGAGAGGACCTAATCGTTTAAGGGATTGGCTTAAGGAAGAGCTTAAAGTATTTCCGGGCAAAGAGGTCACGTCGCTTTTCTCTTCACCGTTATCTCCTCGGTTTCTCGTCGCCTCAGGAGGAGCGAATTTGAGGCTCTCGTGAGGAGCTAATTCCAGCCAGGCGCGTGCAAGTTAGTACACGTGAATTATAGAGTTTTTACGGGAATGTTACTTTTCCGGGCCAAGGGGAGGTCGTTAGGGTATCCCAACCAGGCGCCATAATTATTAGGCTTCCTTACCCTGCTGGGCCTTTAATCCCGTCCATCTCTTGATCCCCGTGGTTGATTTTCGGCTCAAAGTGTGCTATAACCCGTAAGAAACAAACCAAGCCAGGATTTAAAAAAAAAAACCTTTGTTAGCCCAGAAAACTCTTTTTTTTAAAAAAAAACCAGGATTTCTTAGATAGGAAATCAGAATCTTGGTTTGTTTTGTACCTTCCCCACCTCTGGTGGTGGGGGGGAGGGTGGCACAAAAAAACTCAAAACTCAAACAAACTTAAAACTCAAACAAACCAGGAATTGCTTTTATGGGTTATTAACTTTTCGTTGACATGGAAGGCTTGGCTTCAACAAATCATGGTTAACAAGCCTTGTTTTATTGCCACGTGAGAAGTAGCCTCCATCTGGATTATGCACATTGTACCCTGTTTTCCTGAAAATATGACCTACCCTGAAAGTTAGTCCTAGCTTGATTTTTACACATGAGCCCAAAGTTAGTCCTAGCTTGATTTTTACACATGAGATTTTTACACATGAGCCCAATATAAGCCCTACCCCCCCTAAAATAAGCCCTAATTAAGATCCCGCCCACTGCAGAGTGGACTGGTAAAAATTAGGGTGGGGATGGAGGGGGTGGAGCTGCCCTACTACTGACCTGTGGACTGTTGTAGCCAGGGCTTGCTCCCCCCCCACACACACACCTGCCTTGCCGTCCCATTTCTTCTGCAAAGCTTTCCTGAAGGCCTCTGTAGCTGATAACAAAGCTCTGGATCGATCTAGAGCTCTGTTATCGGCTGCAGAGGCCTTCAGGAAAGCCTTGCTGGCCACAGAAGAAGAAGTTCCTGAAGGCCTCTGACAGCGAAAAGGAGGGGCAACGCATGCAAGTGAGGTGAGTCAGTGAATAACATCCCCCGAAAATAAGACCTGGTGCCTTTTTTTTGGTGGCAAAAAAAGGTAAGACAGGGTCTTATTTTCGGTGGAAACAGGGTAGATAGGAAATTGGAATCTTGGTTTGTTTTGTGCCTCCCCCACCTCTGGGGGGGGGAGAGGCACAAAAAAATCCCCCCAAACCCAAACAAATCAGGAATTGCTTTTATGGGTTATTAACTTTTTGTTAACATGGATGGCTTGATATAAACAAATGATGGTTAACCAGGCTTGTTTATTGCCACGTGAGATGTAGCCTCCATCTGGATTATGTGCATTGTATATTATTGAATAAGACACATGTGGCTGGGTTCACCCCACTCAGGTAATGGTCAGTAATGACCAGTTAGGAACTAGAATGTGGCTGTTTGGTTTAATGGGATGTCCCAGAGTGCTTTTGATTCGCTAGGTTAGATACCAGATTGTTGTGTGTTCAAATTTTGATGTTCCCTCAGTATCAAATCTGAGGAAATTCACCATTCCTGGGCAACGTGTTACGAACCCACAGAGGTTCTACTATGGCAGTTGGACCTCTCTAGTTCGTAACACAGTTGCCCAAGTATTTTGGGTTTCCGCAAATTTCCTACAACAGTCAGAGGCCCTGATGTTATGATAATGTTAGGATGGGTTCAAGAAGACTCTTCATGTTAGATTCCATTCCCTTTCTGACCAGAGAGTAATGATCTGGGGAAACCCATCACTCTGTGCCACCTTCTAAGGCCCCATGGGATTGCAGCCAAAATGACGGGTAAAAAGCTGCATGCAGTTGAAAGACTGGATTGTTCTACCGCTTAAGAAACTTATGTGCCAAATATTTGCCTTCATAATTCTGATTAAAACAACATTCTGAGTGGAGAAATTACTCAAAGCTACAAAATGGGTGTAAATACAGAAAACAAAGTATTATCGAATGATCATTTCATGGATATCTTTCTCTTTAGTTATGTTTTAGTTATGCTCTTAGTTTCAGCATGTCTGTCTTGTTTTAATTTTGGCCTGGGCTCTTATTGTGATAGGCTTGATAAATATTTCATGTATTGTTCATCTGATGGCTGTCATGTCTGTAAGAATATCTAGATACTCGTTAATAAGGGGCAGGTAATTTCATGCATCCCAGTTGTTTTGTGCTACAGCTCCCATAGTCCCTGCTAGCTGAAAGTGACATTATATTCAGAGTGATTGTTGACCGATTATTGCATTAAAAGGTGGCAGGCAAAAATGATTAATTGCTCACCCATGAGATTAATCACAACAACCGTGCTGTTTTTAACAGGGTCCTGCAGAATGTGGCCCCTGTGGGAAGATATCATTGTAAAAGCCTTGAGCTATTGCTGATCTTTGGGAATAAATTAATTCCGCAGGGGAAGATCCTGTTTAGCTCCTTGCCTGCGGTGATCTTGTACTGACCTTTTGCAACAATACATGAAATGCCTTTGACAGGCCCAACTTTATTGTCCGTCACTTTTACTGAGAGACTGAGGAAAGACCATCCTGTGCACTTTGGCTTCTAGCGGCACCCGCATCCCTCCACCACCATGTCTTGATAGGTCTTGAGGACGACCATATCGTTCTGGTCTAGGTAAAGCATAGCAATGGGGCTGAGCTCTGTGGGGACACAGCACGCCTTGGGCACTTTGGCGTTCACCGAGTTCAGGATGGTCTGCACCACAGCATGGCTGGAAGAGTTCATGTGGTCGGCCAGCGGGAAGCGACAGTCCCCCGCGCAGTAGAAAGCATGGTAGCCACTGGGAGCGATGATCCAGTCGTTCCACCCCACCGCCTTGAAATCCACAAACAGGCGGTGCCTTCTGCACCCGGTGCTTTTTTTCATCTTCGGCCTCAGGCGCTTGTGCTTCCTGGCGGAGGCCGGGACTTTAGTCGCTCCCCTGCCTGTAATGGGGTGGCTTCTGCTTTGCCTTTTTCGGTGGGTCAGAGGTTGCCCTCTTTGGTCATGGCTGTAGGTGACCAGTAAAGGTCTTTCAAGAGCCCACTGAGCCTCCTCTTGGCCAGGAGAGCGTCTTGCCCGGAGGGAAGTCTGCTGGCGCGGAAGATCGCGGCTGCGGTTCGAAGGCTGCACCTCGACCAGAAGCCCCAGGTTATGCTTCCGTTCTCTTGCTTCCTGGAAAGCAGCCGTCACATCAAAACTCACCCATTTGGGCTGGCTGGGCGTCACAAATTTGCACGTGAGGAGCTGGCTTTTGTTTGGGGACACCGGTGGGGGATCCACAGCATGGTAAACGTGGATATATAAGCCCTGACTTTCCTTAGGGGAGTGATAGAGGCGCAGCTCAAGGGCAGTCAGCTCCTCCTCCGAAGGCAGCACGGTGAGGTTGAACAGGAAGTAGAACGAATTTCCTGAGCCTTCAGAGACATGCGCCGAATCCTCTAAATGCGAAAAAAAATGAGCAAAAGTAAGGACAAATTGGGACAGACAATTCGAATCAAATAACTGCTTTGCTGGAGTTAGCAGGAAGTCTTTTGCCCTGCTGCTTATGTCCTTCTACAGCCAACCAGTTGCATCTGGGAAGCTCACAAGTGTGGCCAGGAGACAACAGCATCCCCTTCCTTGTCATTTCTATCTAGAAAACAGCACCTGCAGCAGGTAGTCCTTGCCTTACGACCACAATGGAGCTCAATGTTTCCTCTGCTGAGCAAAGACAGTTAAGTAGGTTGTGCCTCATGCCTCATTTTACAACCTTTTTGCCGCAGTTAAGCAGATTGCTTTGATTGTTAAGTGAATCGCTATGGTTGTTAAGTGAATCATGAGGCTGTTAAGTGACTCGGGCTCCCCTCCCCCAGTGACTTGGCTTGTCGGAAGCCGGCTGGGAAGGTTACAACAGGGGTCACGTGAGACCCCAGGACGCTGCAACGACCGTCATAAATATGAACCAGTTGCCAAGTGCCTGAATTATGATCATGTGACCACCACTGGGAGGCTGCAACAGGCATAAGTGTGAAAACCGGTCATGTCACTTTTCCCCCCCTGCGATTGTAACTTCGAACAGTCGCTAAAGAAATGGTTGTTAAGTCGAGAACTACTGAATTGCCTTTAAAATAGAAGTTTTAGTCTTTGGTCCCGTAAGGCAGAGTTCCCCAACTTTTCCAGCTTTGCAGACCAGTTGCAGGGTGGCGGGGGAGGGAGGAATGGTTCACACAAGCGGCCGGCAAATATGCACCCAGCTCTGTTTGCACTGGGGGTGTGCGTGCACACCTGCCGCTCGTGCAAAAGGAGTGCATGTGCGCTCACCCGCTACTTGTGCAAGTGAGCACGCTCGCCATCTGTTTCCACAGCCCAGTTGCAAACCCCTCACGGCCCACATGTTAAGGACCATTCCCCTGCCAGAAGAGGAACATTGACTAGCTAGATTGGGATCCAAAGCCAATTACATTTAAGCCTCAGTGCTTTTGCCTTAAGAAGAAAGAAGGAAGTTTTGGAGCAAGCTCGGAACACATCATTTACTTTTATGGCTTATCGGGCGAGACCGGCAACTTCCTTCTGCGGTTGTAAAAGAACAACCACACAAGGAAGTCGCCAGTTTAACACACACTCTTTTCTCTCAACTGAAGAATATTTTAGCCGCTGAAATTGGCAGTCAACCAATCTTTGGGGAGACCATTGCATTCCTTGCTCCATAGAGGGCACCAGAAGCCAAATTAACGTCTTTTAGCCCAGTTCTCACCTCAGCAGTGAAAGCACAAGGCCCCCATTTTCAAGAATAAACGACAACAAAATACAGTGACTTCCATAGATACAGTTGGGGAACCTAAATGTCTGTGAAGATTTTCAGTCATCCAGGCCCTGGTTGCCCCAAAGGTCCTTTTGCAAAAGGCCACAGGGTTTGTTTCTGCTCTTGGGGAAGCCTTTAGGCATTTGGCTGATTGATATCACGCGGAGTATTACTACCTTTACTAGTAAGACCACACCTGGAATACCGCAACCAATTTTGGTCACCATACTACCAAAAAAAAAAAAAAAAAGTTGAGAC